TCTCCCAACTGATCCTCACTATCATCACCGATAGTCTCGATGTGTATGTCATTACAGTTGAGCACATCGTCCATAGATTTGCACTTATTTTGGCCGCTAATGACCGACGACTGGCCACCAGTGCTATTGTTAGCTATATTACACGTGTTTAGCGTATTGTTTACATTCATGTTATTTATATTGCGTTGATTTTGCTGTGACTGTAGTGACTGTTTAGTCCTATTGTTTTGCTAATTACTATTAGTAGTGTCGGCCGTTTGAGTATTTATATTGTGGTTTTGTGCTTCATTGTCAAAATCAGCAAATGGATGGAGGCGTCCGAGTAGTGGTCAATTTTATGTGATTAATCAAAGTTTTGTGAATCACCAAATTTACTGCAAAGCGGTGGTGGAGAAAAAAGTGCAGGTTTACTTAAAATAGTACAATTTATTAAATAAATGTAGAGAGAGAGAGAGAGAGAGAGAGAGAGAGAGAGAGATTTTAGCAAATCATAAATAATATTACCCTAAAATCTTGTGCATTACCCGCGGGTTATACAAGGAAAAAAGTGAAATTTTTGGGAAAATTTTCATTTAGTGGTTATTGTTTCAAATAACTTTTGTTCAAAAACAATTATTTTAACTTGGTCTCAACATTAAATTGTTAATAATATTATTTATTAAATTAATATGAGTTAGTTTAGGCTAGGTTAGGTAAAATTGACAAGTTATTCCTTTAATTTAAGTGAATTTTGTAAGTGCGGGTTATACATGAGTGCGGGTAATGCACAAGATTTTAGGGTACATTATTATTAGATAAATACATGTTATATGGCCAATGTTGTGTTCGGTAAATAGTGTAGGATAATCTATCCAGGTACAATTCCTGTTTAATAAAATTACTTAAAAAATACATCTACTGCCAATTTAGTTTATAAATTTATTATTTTAATGTACAGAATATTTAACGATATTAAATAACTAAAAATAACTTCACATAACGCTATGAAAGTAATTTAATTAATTATAAATAAATAAAACCATATGTTACAAAGTCACCATTTAATAATACAAACCGCTTCTGCAAACATAACAAACGGTAATGTCTTAACCATGTATAATATTAATTCACTGTTTAAAATATATCTATTAATTCTTTAACTAGACTCAAACTGCGTGAATACGATGTCAAATATCGCATACCTGTTGGCCATATCTCTCGTCATTTTTATTAATAGTATGTAATATCATAACAAAATAATATTATTTGATATATTTAATAATTTAGTAAAAATTTAGTGAATTACTTAAGATTATTAAACAATTAGAGTAATAATATTATCTAAAGTATATGTGTATATAAGTACAATATATATCTATAGTATATACATGTATGTATATGTATATAGTTTAGGTTACTGATCGCCAATGAAGTCTCTAAAAGAGACTTGGCTAATGTTAATGCATAGGCATGTAGATGTAGATTGGCTATCAGTAGTTTAGGTAATAAATTAATAGTCAAATTATTTAATGTGCCAGCATTACAAATATTATATTTTTTTACTAAATATTATTTATAAATAAGCTGCTAAACAGCATATATTTTAAAAAGTTGTTAAATTATTATATAAAAGTTTATATAAATATTTAACTATGTACAAATTATTACTATTATTATGCTGTGTAGCCGGGACCATGTGTCATCCAAGCCTAGATTGGCGCACGCATAACGCTATGCGTCCTGTTAGGAACCGGGGCGAGCTGACGGAAATGTCGACAAATTCTTCGACCGAACCCAACCCAAACCCGAACAGATGGACCCGAACCCGACCCGAACCCAAACTCCAAATTATAAACCCAACCCGACACAAACCCTAAACCCGAAATAAATGACAGATTTAATAAAAATCAGTTATTTTAATAATAAAATCAAAGAATTTAATGTTTTATTAATACAAATCAAAATTAGATTTTATACAAACAAATCATTAACATTTCGTGGTTTCAAATTTGATCGGCGGTCAGTGAAGGTCTGACCGGCGACACTAAAATTTCGTTCACTTGATAAGTTTATCGCCGGTATTGAAAAGAGACGAATAGCTATTTTGTAGAATCGGGGAAATCTTTCACATTCTTGTCGCCAAAATAATAAAACATTTGAATTATACGTGAAATTTTGAGAATAATTTAAGTAATTTTGTACTTCTTGGTCAAAAATAACATATTCCTGATTATTTGGCAAATCAACAAAATCTTTTAAACATAAATCCATTTCATTATTTTGAATCACATCTAATGAGTGTGTGATTGTTGTTGTGGTGATTTTATTCATTAGTATGGATAATATTTTATAAGTATTTTCTATCTCTTCAGTTGTTAGTAAATTTTTAAGACTTTTTAATGGTGGGTATAATACAGTTGAAATGTTATGCAATTCACTTATTTTAAAATATTTATCGATATTTGATTTGTATATTGCTTTCAAACTTTTCATAGCATTAGAGTCTGTTTCCGATTCATTGCATAATAAAAACATTATCTGTTTTGTAGGCAAAACCAAATGCATCGTAGGTTTGTAATCATTACATAAAGCGAGTCTTAATTCATAAAACGGTTCAAAAACATTGTTAATTCAAGTAATATATTATAATCTATTCCAACAATTTTGTTAAAAATTGTGTTATTATTTAATGCTATTTGTTTAATGTGTTGGAAGTTTTTGACTACAGATTCAAGCATTATATACGTTGAGTCCCAGCGAATATCAATGGATTGCTTTAATTTTGTATTCAATTCCTTTTGAAGACCGGATTGCTTAGAAAAAGTGACAAATTCTTTGCATAATTTAACTGTTTTGGTAATAATATTATTAACACATTTAGCTTCAAAAATATTAAATGAATGTTTATGTAATAAATTCATGTTATTTGCCGAACAACTGATATATTTGTGATTAAATGCTAAAATCATTGCAGAGGCGTTGTCTGTAGTGAAAAACTTTGTTTTTTCATTTAAATTAAATTCATGTAAAATATTGTTCACTTCTGTTACAGTAGTAATTGCTGTCTTGTCTTCAGTATTAATTATCGCCAAAACTCTTGATTTAATATCAAAATCCTAAACATATTGTAGTGTCATATAACATGTCTTCATCACACCATGAGTCCAATGATCACAAGTTAAGCCAATTGTTTCAATACTTTCCAATTGATTAATTACTTTGATTTTAATTTTTTCATACATTAGTTTAATACGCTTAGATACGGTTCGGTCAGAAGGCAACACATTATCTAATGGTATATTAGGATTTTTAGTAGGGTGACCAACTCAAAAAATTTAATACCGGGATTTTTTTGTAAAAACTCCTGATAATTCCGGGACATTCCGGGACATTTAAAAATTATTCCAGGATATTTTCCGGGACGCTTGTAATTATATAATATATGTTTATCTATACCCATTTAAGGCATATTATTTGCTAAATTAAAATATGATATTATTTTTTTTGCTAAATTAAACTATTTTATATGCAGGATTTTAAAACTATTTTAAATGGGATTTTTAAAAGCTAATTGTTCTTGGAAAATAATATTTTGGTAGTATATCATTGTTAAATGATAAGTTAATTTTATTATAGAAATTTTGTTACTGGCTCCAATAATAAATTTAAAGTTGAATTTGGGTTCATCATTTATAATTTGTTTAAAATTTCACTATTTATTACTTCTTGCATACGTTTGTAATTGCCAGAAATGTCCCGGTTTTAACGTTTCGTAATAAATTTTATTGAAAATACAAAAAAATATATATTTAAAATAGATATTTGCTTGATAATAAATTTAAGGAAATAACACTTGTAAAACCAAACGCTTGAATTACTTTAAAGTATACAAATTCTCAAAAATAAAATATTTGTTGGAATTTAAAAACTTTGACCGTCCCTGTCCCGGTCTGACCCTCGCCGGGACACGGGACAAAATGCTCAAAACCGGGATTGTCCCGGCCAAACCGGGACGGTTGGTCACCCTAATTTTTAGACCCAATCTCAAGCAGTTTATTAGCCAAAAGTTTAAATCCTTGGCCATTAATTATATTAATAGGTCTCATATCTCGGGCGACAAATAGCACTAAAACATCGGTTAAATTAGACTTAATATTTGGATCAGTTTTTAATGGTATAAACAGATGTCTTTCAATTGTCTCAATAGGTTTTACAGAAGTTTCACTGCATTTATGCCGTTTTATTGAACTTCTGCCAGTTTTGAGATTATATTTAATAATTGCTGGACATTTAATGCATTTGCTGTAATCGGTCTCTAAATCATCTTTAAATACACGATTAAATGTCTTCATGTATTCAGTCTTAGACTTGATTTCCTTGAAACTAATAGACGGATCATTGCTTTGAATTAAATTTATTAACTCTTGCTTTTCATCTACTTCTGTAACAAATGGATCACTTGTATTATCACCGAAATAGTGTTCAATAGTTTTTTTGCTTTTTAGACATTGTTTAATTAATTGTAATTAATATTTACACCACTTTTATTAAAATCAAAATAGCATTCAATTCGAACAAAGCAATGCTTTTTAAACTTATCTTAGTTATATGTGTTGTATATGAGTTCGCGCATGTCTTTTAAGTTTAGGGTTTGATTTGGGTTTAGGGTTTACATGAATTCAAACCCGAACCCAGCTCGGATTTTAAAAACCAAACCCAAACCCGACTCAAACCCAAAAGGGTTTGGGTTTAACTCGGGTTTGGGTTTTAGATTTCGCTCATTACCGGGGCCTACTGTGCGCATCCGACTGGGCGATTGCGGCCGAGGGCTGCATCAAAACTGCGTACCAACGAAAACATAACACATTGCCTGATTTGTCGGTTCAACAATTGTTAGACTGTAGTACAGCCTACGAAAACTCAGGGTGCCTATGTGGTAGACCGCATGATGCTTTTAAGTACCTTAAGGAACATGATGGTTTAGCGTCAGGCAGGTCGTACCCATACACGGGTGTGTCAACTGGGGAGACATGTTTGGCCTCAACCATGCCCAAAGTGGCATCAATGGCCAGTTACACTATGATCAATAATGAACAAAGTTTATTGAACGCGGTGGCGACCGTCGGGACTGTGGTGGTGGCCATTAACAATGCCAGCCAAGAATTAACCAATTACAAAAGTGGCATTTTAGATGTGCCCGATTGTGGCAATTCGCCGGCCGAATGGTTTCTAGTGGTCGGCTATGGCGCTGAAAATGGAGTCGATTTTTGGTCACTGCAATCCTCGCGGGGCGTCGGGTGGGGCGAACAAGGTTACCTCCGTTTGGTACGTGGTAAAAATATGTGCGGCGTTGCCGACTGGGCATCCTATGCCGTTGCTAAATAAATATTGTTTCTATTTTTATAACTGTGAAAATTGTTATTATAACCTATATTAAAATACATTATATGCAATATTAACATTTATGAAAATTTAATGTGATTATTTTAGACATACTTTGCATTTTAAACTTGATTGAGTAAAAATGCAGTTAAATTTATCCAACAAATAAGTTACATTGTACAATTAATAATAGTAATGCCATAAAAATAAAATCTTTGATAAGTTTGATATTCCTTATATAATGACTCGTAATATTTGTTGAGTATATAATAGGGTTATATTCTTGGTTAAAATAAAATCTACCTGTAAATAAAGTTAATAATTTTAACTAAATATTATAATAAAATATTGATCTAAACAACTTAAATAAATCAAATTAGATAAAACATTTAGGGAATTATATAAATATGAAATTATTGTAAAACCAAAACAAAATATCTAGAACAATTTTAATTGCAAATTTTTAAAAAAGATGGTAAGATATGAAAAGAGCTGCCAAAAAAATCTATAACGTATTTTGTGATTTTTCTTAAAATTTAGTTTTCATTTAACATTATGTCTATAAAAAACATTTTTGTTTACCAATTTATTATTAATAACTATCATATTGTTATATTTTATTTAATAATTAAAAACCGGGTACATATGTCGCATCCAAAAGTTTTTAAACTCTTTTGAACAAACATTATTATACATGGTAACTAGATGGCTCTACAGTTTCTAAATATTTTTATTGTACGTTTTTAAATGAATAATTTAAGTACGATGCCCGCCCCTAATGCTTCCGTGGCCCCTTTGACCTGGTCTCCATTTAACATAATATGAATTATTTGCACTGAGAGGTTCTTAGATAGAACTAAAGACAAATCACATCAACAAATAACGTTTATAGCATAAATAATGTACAAAAAAATGTAATACATTTTTATTTTTAAAATAACTTTTTTATCTGATATCGGAATTACGAAATACCTTCAGATCCCTATTCCTCTCATCAAATCCTTTCCATCAATATATAATATGACACATATATCACTCAAATAAGTTTTTAATTAGAGTAAATTTTCCCAATAAAAGTGGTCACTACTCCCGAACCCGATGTCCTAGGGACATATGGACAACATTTTCAAAGACCCCTAAACATGGTCTATCGTTTCTATATTAAATGGTGACCAGGCCAGCGGGGCCAGCGTTAGCATTACGAGCGGGCATCGTACTTTCTTAATCATAACTTGAAATAATTATTAGTTATGTTTATTTAAAAATAATTTTATATTGATTTATTTCTAATGTATTTAATTTTTATTACTAATTTTATTAATAATTAAAACAGTTTTATTAAGTTGTTTTTAAAACATATTTTTATTTATCATTTATTAATTTAATTAGAATTTAATTACAAGAAAGAAATTTATTCCTAAATAATAATATAAAACACAAAATAACACAAATATTTAGTCAATATTTTACAATCAAATCACAATTTTGTCACAAAATCTCTGTCTTCTGCCAGCGATCGGTCACTGAGTATACA